ATGAATGAATGAATAGGTTTTAGCTGGGAGGGAAAAGAGCAGGTTTAAAAATAACTCTTTGGGAAATGCAACAGCAAGAGGAAATCTCATCTGCTGTACATTCTTCTAAAACAAAGTGAGGAACATTTATACCATTATCCTTTTATTGCGTGTTCTTTAACAAATAGTGTTCCCCACAGAGATTTGATATAGGAAGGGAAGCTCCTTAGATCTAGAAGAGACTAATGCTAACATTGTCATAGGAGACGTTTCCTGCTAAACCCGTTCGGAAGGACGCTGTTCCACTTCGCTGTCTTCTTAATGCCACTGTTCCATTCCTAGAAACGTTGATTTGCTAACTCAGTTACTTTCATACTCTGAGTAATTAGCCTCATGAGAACTTGCCTTTCTCCCTGAGATCATCCTACTGGTTTTCTTTCCTGCTGACGTGGAATCTTCAGACAGCAGGATGCTTGCACTCTGCCACCTGCAGACGTGGGAATCCGGGATAATTATGTGCTTCTCTGGGACTGACTCAGCTCTGTAGGCAAAATCTTCATGCCTCATGTGAGAGGGAACAATATGTTAATGGGAATTAGCAAAGTCCTGCAGTTTCAACAGCCAGGTAAAATATCTGGTGAAGAAAAACACATAAACAGTGTGTGAAAGTTGTGCACATGGGTGTAATTATTTTCCACGGCACCATTAGTCAGTAATGGGGCCTAGAGAATGCAGCAGTGAGACCAGAACAAAGAAGTCATTGTGTCCTAATTAATAGAAAAAGTAATAATATCAAAGTCTTGTCCATTTTAAAGTCCACCAGGACACAATATTTCAGAAACCTCCAGTGCTTTTTGCTCATATTTAAGAATGGCTCATTGTGGTAGAGTATGTAGAAGAGTATTGAGTACTTTCTTACTCAAAATGGCATTTTTATCACCCTGTCACTTGAGCATGGTGTTAAAGTCTCACTAAGCAATGGAAGACTGAAGATCACAGATTACATGGCCAAAATTTCAATTGCTATATGTGAATTTTTTATTCTGCTCACTGTCTCCAGCATAGGCTTTCGCACCTTTGGCACTGTTGACATTTGGGGCTGGATAATTCTTTGTTGGGGGAGGGAAGGATTGTCCATTGTAAAATGTTTAGCAGCAACCCTGGCCTCTACTCACTAGATGCCAGTAGCACCCCTCCACCCCCAGTAGTGACAACCAAAAATGTCTGCAGATATTGACAAATGCCCCCCAGTGTCAAAATCACCCCTATTTGAGAACCCCTGCTAGCAGGTTAGCACTCTCAAGCTAGTTTCCTACCATCTAATCTTCTACCTCCTAGTGAGAATATTAATTTTTATGTCTTCCCAAACCAAATGTTACTTGGACAGCAAGTTTAGTTTCCTTGAAAAGTTAAAATCACACAATACTTTATGAATCTAGATGAAATGATTTTTGAAATATCCTTGTCTCCATTTCACTGTGCTAATGCAGAAGAAATTGCAAGGAAATTTCACATTGTTCTTGAGGCCATACACTGGGCCCCTCTCACAGAGCACAAAGTTTTACAGGAGACAAATATGTAAATAAAGAGTAGAATTACCATCAGTTTGTTGGTTTCAACTTCCCTCCGAACACATCGGAATTTGGTCTGGACTTAGAAAGTTGTCTCTAAAGTTGTCACATTGGTCTTTGGTTACTCCAAACTGCAGACTGTAGAAACTGGGTTGGCAGAGAAGAAGAGAAAATAGGACTCTATGACCCTTGGTATCTAGGAGATAGGTCAGCTCAGGGAGGATGCCAACCTAAGAAGCCAGGTGGCCAGCCCACTCTTGACGCGCCTTCCACTTACTTTGATACACTAGTGTAAATTCTGGTGATGCCACCTCTTAGGTGGCTCTTTGCTTCCCTTCTGCCTTGCATTTTAACTATTTTCTCATGCACCCCCATCCCACAGGCTGTGAGCCTTGTGAGAGCTGAGAAACCTTCTCTCCTTTGTTCACACTGTGTTCCCAACTTCTAGAACAGTGCTTAGTAAAAAGTAAATGGAGAGAGAGAGAAGATAGAGCAACAGGTATTAATATGCCCTTATTATCAATATTGATTATAAATATAAGTTGAACATATGAATAAATTTATTTGGTTCGCACTTCACTTGGATATTATAGTATTTGAACTGGTCCACTTGAATTTAATCTCTTTGCCTACTTCAGTCTAATCCACACACAGTTGTCAAGACACTCTCTCTTGACACCTTTTAGCCCTAGCACAGGGCCTGGTGCACAGTCTACAGGGATGAAGTGGACGAGAGTGCCCTGCTCCAGGCCCCAGGCTGGTGGCCTCTTCTGTTCTCCTCATCCCCTCTCACCTGCCTTCCCCTTGCTTGCCCCTGCACCAGCAGGCTCTGCCCTGCTCTTCTCCGCCATCTACCTCTCTTTTTCCTTTCTTCACTGTAATCATTTACCTTGTCTTCAGAACTCATCTCCTGGTTAACTCTATTCTGTTTTGATCACTTGTTCACATACTGTCATACTGACTTGTTGATAATATGTCTTTGTCAGTGATCCCAATTAGTGTTATGTTTAGGGTGTCTGGCATTTATCTCCCAGCTTGACTACATCTCATTTTATTTCTTATAAATTCTTCCTTCTACTCTTTCTACTGAATAGGACCATTTTCAGCTCCTAATTAAGCTTTCAATAAAGGTTACATAATGAAGGTAGAGGTGGTGCCAGAAGCGGTCTACACCACTGGATTTCCAGACATTCGGAAAATTCTTGTAAACACCAGGGACAGCCCTCCGATTCCAAAATATTTAGTTGGAAGCTGTGACTTTTAGGATTGCAGTTGAAGATAATAGCCAGTGGATTTTTGGCTGTGTGAACACAGGCATAGTTCTGTCAGTCCAGAAAGGCTTTTTAGGCAGTTAAATGTCTCCTTATAGCACACTTAGAGATTTTTTTTTAACTGTTGTTTTTACACTTCTTTGGTTATTTTTGAAGTTCCCATTTTTTTTGTAATAAAAATGTTTTATTATAATCCCTCCCCAGTTTATCATTGAGCTCTTTTTTTTCTTCTTTTTAAGATTGAGCCTTATTTTTGTTGTTGTTGGGGGAGGACACGGCGCAGAAACTGCTGTATCTATGAGAATTCAGTTTAGCTCCAAGTAACTGAGACCCCAAGCAAACAATAGCTAAAGAAGTGTATCTCTCTTTCAGTAAAAAGTACAGTGGTAGGTTCCCTAGGAGTATTATAGTTGCTCTGACCCACAAAACCCTTTGACTCAGGTTCCTTCTAGGGCATTGTTTCTTCATCCCTAGGTGTGAATTCATGGTCCAAGGTAGCAGCTAGTGTTTTACATTCCGGGCAGCAGGATAGAGGAAGGAACAAAGAAGAACAGGGATCAGAGAACTATTCCTGTGTCTCTTAAGGGAGGCTCCTAGGGGTCGCTACATGACGTTTGAGCATATGGCCATACCAACAGAAAAGGATGCTCAGGAAACATAGACTTTTTATTTGCCCATCTAAAAATAGAGGGTTCTGTTAGTGTGGAAGAAAGGGATAATACATACTGACGAACATCTATCTGTCTTTGCCATGGCTACTCCCATTCAAGCGCCTCTCAAATGAACTTTCTCAGAGTTTATTTCAATACATTCCTTTTGCTTTCCAAACAGTGACTTCTTATAATAGTTTGAAAAAGACAAATATCCGTGTGTTATAAAAATTTACAAAATATAAAGAATAAAATAAAAATCAACCATAATTCCACAAGCTAAATATAACCACTGAAACAGCATCATGTAAAAAATGTCCTTAAAACAAAAAATTTGTCTTTAGAGCAGTAAGATGTTTTTCAAAGTTTATTATGTTATACTGTATATCCAATTATTTATTCCTTCAGTAAACATTTTTAAACATCTGCTTTGTTCCCAGCATCTTGTAAATTGGTGTGTGCTTGGGAGGGGGAGCAATGAAGGAAATTTTAAAAATTGTTTGTTTCTCACGGGATGCTTACAGTCTAGCACAGAGACAAGACATACATATATGAAAAAGTTGGGAAATAAATCGGGGCCCCATAAGTGCCATACACTAGAAAGCAGGCAATATGAAATAATGACAGTGGATATTTTTATTTAGTTGTAGAATAATTTGTACCATGGACAATTGTTTGTAAAGATGACACCTTGAAAATGCATCTCACTTTTTTGGTTGCTGGAGAATGAAACTTGGATTACAAGTCCTTCGGATAGCCTGGTTCACACAGTATTAGGAAATAATCAAGCCTAATATGGTTAAATTCTAACCCCTCCTGATTCTCTGAGTTAGAAGTCCAAAGTTCATTTGGGGATGATTCAGCCTTTTGTGATTTCTATAAGTTGAACTTCCGAAATAACTAAAGATGGGTCATTTTAAGTTTTGCTGAAAAGTGTGATGTGTTTTGTTGTGTTAAATCCTGACCTTGATTCAGTTCACCTTTTTGTATTGAAAATGCTTAAGCAGGAGAAGTAGCTATGTTAAGAAATACACAGAAAAACCTAGGAGTTATGACAAAATATTAACACTTTCCTACTAGATGATGAGATATGAGTGATTTTTTTTCTTTAAATGATCTGCATATAATTTTTTTTTTTTTTTGCAAGCAGGTACTACTTTTATAACTGGAAAAAGGTTTGTTTTTTTATTTTTCTTTTTTTAAGAAACTCTAATCAGTGGCAAAAATCTTAGTTGTGATTAAGCCGAAAGGGTAAATAACTACGTGTCACTTTGTAGGGAAGCGTTCCTGCTGGCTCTGGAACCGGGGAGCCCTGCTGGGTGCTCTGAGGCCTGCAGAGAACAGTGGCCCATTGTGCCTCGCCACTTGCTCAGGTGACTGAGGGCTGAAGCTGCTTATTTCCACACGAGAACACAAACTCTTTTATAAGAAGCGACTGGTACAGGAGAGACAGAGCCTCTCTGTGGAGATGCTTCAGTTGGTGGCTTTTTTTTTTTTTCCCCCACTCCTGGCAAACTGTAATGAAGAATACACATTTTCAAAAGATCCCGGTTTCCTGTTTTCATGAAAGCAGCAGGGAATGCCGAACAGCTGAGTGTGCCGGGGGTGGTGTCACCGAAGCCGGCGGGAGACTTCATTGGTGAAAACTCGGCCTATGGTGTTTGTGCGGGGCCGGCTGAGCTTACCCCAAAGTCGAAAGTCTTTGCCTTATGGGGCGAGGACCCAGGGCGTCGGAGGCAGGGCCGCTGCAGGCGCGCTGCGAGCAAGGAGCTGGTGCGCGGTGGAGCGCCCCAGGCGGCCGGGTAGGTGAGGGGCGGGCGAGTGGCCTAGGGCCCGTCCCCGCCGCTGAGGGCCCCGGTGGCCTGGGCGAGGGGGTCGGGGAGGTCCGGGAGCCGCGCGGCCTCTGGACTCCACTCCAGTGGCAGGGGCGGGCTTAGCATCGCCTCCACCAGGGCTGGCCTGTTGGCTCAGCTGGATAGAGTGCCGTGTTGATAACGCCAGAGTCAAGGGTTCGGATCCCCTTAACCAGGCAGCCACCAAAGACAGACAAAAACAATAAATCATAGGAACTGAGGATCGCCAGCTCACGCACGGCCAGGGTCGGTGAGGTCTGTCTGTCTGCCGGGCTGACACCCGAGCCTGCAGTTTCTCTTAGCTTATGGAATTTCAGGCAGCGCTGGAAACAGGTCTGGCTGCATATTTTAAGTGAGTGCATTCTCCATGTGGAGTTGGAAAGAGAGAAGGAAAGCCAGGTTCTGTGAGCATGAGCACAAGTTTCCCCACAGAAGCCTCTTGGTCAGTTCTCCCATTCTTAGGCTAGAAAATAATTGGCACTGAGCACTTCTTTCAAATAGAATTCATTTCCCATATGTTTTAGAATTGAAATCTAGTGCCTACTTCTAGCAGCAACGACAGTTTAATATTGTTTTAAATCGGGATGCAAACAATACATACCCCTTTTATATACCTCTGCTTGGCAAACTTCCTTTTGTGCTTTTCTTTCTGATATTTCAGAAGGGGCAAATGAAGGCAAAAGGGGTTATTCAATGCATTCACACTATCAAGCATAAATGTACGGCAGTGTTAGGGACTGGGAAGGCAGACAGGCCACCCAAGTTTGCTAGAAGTACCTGGACCTTGGCAGCAATCAGATGGGTTTGTACACCCAGGATAGGAGCGGAGGTACAGAGAGCTTACTTTTTCATTCATTGCTTTTGGGTCCTTTCCATGGCTCTAAAAATGCAGGTTTTTGTAGTATGGATCTAGGAAAACACATTACTTGATCCTACAATTTAAACAAACAAAAACGACCTTGCTTTTAAATTTTAAAAGCATAGCTCTGGTCAGCAACAAAGTCTGCGCTTTGAAAGATTCTTGTGTTTCCTTTTTTAAATGTTTGGTTTAGCCAGAAGTAGCATTTACGAAACCACATGATCCAGTGGCTAGAGTATAGGTTTGCCATTATTTTCATTCTTCTTTGCATCTGTTTGTATTCATCACAAATACAAAACAATGTATTCCTGGGATAGTGAATGTTCTGTCCAAAAGAGGTCAAAGTGGAGAAAAGTTTTTCTCTAGTTGGGAGAGGTTTTGGTTTTGTTTTTAAATGAGGAGAGAAATTGAGAAGTGGAAGTCATAAACTAGAGTTGAAGTCTGTCCCCTGACTGTGTTCCTGCACTCATGCTGCGGGAGTTAATCCCTTGGTGTCCTCTGCCCCAGCTTTCTCAACAAGGAAGGTGTCAAGACAAATTGTGATCTCGTGGAGTTGGGCAGGTACTGGGGGGGGGGGGGGGCAGCTGTGGTTTTTCGGGGATA